TCGGAAAAAAACTTGGTACACAGACCGCTGAAGTGGCAATGTACAATAAAAAAACAGTTAAAAATCTTTTTTCCCAAGTTAAACATCCCACCCCTAAAGATAACACTAGTAATGTAGTGTATAGAATACCATGCAATAACTGCAATGTATGCTATGTAGGCCAAACAAAACAATATCTGAAAAATCGCATATCAGAACACAAAAGGGATTGTAATATTACTAAGATAGATAATCCAAAAACAGGACTAGCAAGACATTACTTCGAAACTGGACACCAGTTTGACTTCCAATCATCGACTATCTTAGACAGTCACCCTAATTTTCAACAAAGACTCTTCTTAGAAATGTGCCATATAACGACTAATAAACCCAATGTAAACCTTAACATGGATACACAAAACTTAAGTACAATTTACTGCAACATCATAACCAATCAGTTATAAACCGACCATTCGATTGTTTTCAATTGGTTCTGTTCCCCAAATTAAGTTTTTTAAAGGTGAAATTTGGTGGGGTGGGAATCAACATTATCAATAATTTAGTTTTACGTACCAATGCAGATCGATATGAAAAAGTAGTACCGAAACATCACGGCAAGCAATAGTACCGCTCTTTGGTGTGTGAACTTTTTTGTTTGTTGTTATTGATGAATCGGTCCGAATGATGCGATTCATAGCTTTAATAATCTAGGTAAGGTAAACTTTGGTAAGGTATTTTGTAGATAACAATACGACGTTTTTATTAGTCAAATTAGGTAATTGGTTCTATGTTGTCTGGATTGATAGTTTTTCAAAAATATAATTTGTGAAACTCATTTTACTTATCTCTTGTTATGTAATAGTCATTGTTGAAACTTTTTAAATGTTAATTTCTTTTTTATACGTCATTTTTTAATTTATTTTTTAAACCTTTGTAAATGCTTCTTTTTTGTTAAATGTTAATTTATTTTGTCAGTCATTTTTTAAAATGTTAATCGTTGTGAAATGCTTGTAACGTTCTTTGCATGTTTTCTTTTAGCCTTGAGAATGATGCGGAATGCGTCGAAACGTTGGCTGTTGATTTAGATATTTCATTAAATAAAGTCCAAATAAGCCGAAAACCGACTTTTCATTTGAAATTTTCTCTGGGGGGGCTGGGAGAGATTCTTAGGAGCTCTGTACTTCATTCCAGGCAATGGAGCAAAATGGAGCAAAACTTGGGAAAATAAAATGAGCATAAAACAATGCTGAAATTTTCACTGGGGGGAGCTAGGAGAGATTTTTGGAAGCTCTATAGCTCCTTCCAGGTGATGGAGCAAAACTCACCGACTAGCTCGCCAATGATGGAGCAAAACTTAGAGAATAAAATGAGCATAAAAACTGGAAGGGGGGTGGGGGTAAGCCTTAGTTTGGCCCCCCTCCCCACTTAATAGGCCACATAGTCCCTCTACTGCACTGTAGTGGAATGGTAGTGGAGCAAAATTTTGGCATATGTTCCATTCAGAAAAATTCAGTGGGGGGGCTAACTTAACTGACCCCAAAAATACTCAATTCTCAATTTCTTACCACTTATCCTGAGTTTCAGCTCGCGTAATACATCATCAGGAAACTTGATCAAGCAATAATTAACCCAGTTCAATGAGTTCTCGATTAAAATTGTCGAGCTGCAATTGCTTATTACAAGATTCAAATATTCCAGTCCTTCTCTGCGATGCTTGGCAGTAGATAGAAGCCTGTTGATTATGTTTATAATTGTTTTTTCGTTTAATTCATTTCGGATATTCAAATTTAGCATGCTTTTCAGTAGGGTTTTTACACCTTCGTCTTTTGAAACGAAGGTGTCTTCAAGGTGGACAGCAGTTAACGGCATTTTCGGGGAGATTTGCGATTACAGATGGAAATAAAGGACTAGAGGTGTGTTGAAATATTTATACACTTGTGTTTTTCAAAATTGTTGAAGGAGACGGCGTTTTTAAAAAAAAAGTTAGTGTATTTTTTTTAGTTAGAAGAAGTGAGGTTATGTTTTTATGTCTTTGTCAACGCGGAGTGCGGAGTAGAATGGAGTCAGAGCAGATTGTAACCAGAGATTGTAACGTGTTCTAGAGTGAAGAAAACGTCAAATTTTACCCGAATGACCCGGAACTAGGGATGGCAACATTGATCGGAATCATCAAATACGACTGTACATCGAACCCGGATACATCGACCAAGAATTTAAATCATAGCTGGGTTCGGCTATTCAGCGCGGAGTTGGAGTAGAGTGAACAGAGCGAATGGAGTAATCCCTAATACAGTAAAAAGCAATACCCGAACCTTAACCCGAACGGCTGGAGTGCGAACGGAATCACTCGGAGTGCACGGAGTGAGCAAGCCGAACTCACCTCATAAGTTACCTTATAGTAGGCAATTTTTCGCGAGGATAAATCAAGCATAATCTGATTCTGCTGGATTATGTGATGTGTCAATTGTGTCATACTCCCCTAACTCCCTTACATTAAGCTTACACCAAATTCTGCGCCTGCAAGTGACGTCACTACCAGCAGCTGATAGTGATGACGTCATCCGCAGCCCTCGATGGAATGCTTGCGATTCAGGCTGTGCTAGTGAGTTAATTTTCTCGTCGATTTTAAATATAGGGAAGGTGATTTTTGAACTTGTTCTCAAAGGAGAAAGTGTTCTTGATCCTCGAGTATGCCAGAATTTGATGATGGGTCGATGGGGGAGTTAGAGGATAAATGACATATTACATAATCCAGCAAAAGATTATGCTTGATTATCCTCGCGAAAAATTGCCTAATTACAAAAATGATGAGATTTCAAAATCAATCAACAAAAATGACAACGGCTTGGCTATCACAAATTTCAACAATAAACTGTGCGATTGTTCTGAACCGCGCTGGAACCGTCCTTTTTTCAAACCCGAACAGGTGGGGGATTCTCATCCTATAGTCGCAACTTATCGTCCCGACTCACCCGTAGAAAAGCAATGGGATAATCGGGACGATAGATTGCGACTAGAGGATGATCCCCCACCTGGACTTTATGTCTTTGGCGCTAATAAACGCGGAGTTGGAGTCAGAGCAGATTATGTAACGTGTGCTAGAGTAACGAAGACGTCAAATTCTACCCGAACGACCCAGAACTAGGGACGGCAACATCGATCGGGATTATCAACTACATCGTCGATACATCGAATTTCAATGCATCGATTCTACGATATATCTATAATATGGAAGTTTACTATTATTGTATTTAAAATTTCATAGTTTACTTCAATAGTTGTATTCCTTTCACACCTGGGAGGAGCTCCGGAACAGCTCCGGGGCGTTACGCGCTTATTCCTTTCGAAAAGTGTTTGTTGCACCTGACTGCTCAAGCTCCACTCAAACCAATTAAATGCATGAAAGCCAGCGCATCTGTTCCTTTCAAATCAGAGTCGAGTAACATCGGAGAGAGTAGCTCGGGTGTTTTAAACTCTTGAAAGGAATACAACTTATAGCGTACAGTCACAAGTCGAACACGTGAATCTCGCCGAGAGCAACGCTCCGTTTTAAATCGAACATGTAAATCCGTTTCAGATCCGATCGGTTTCTGATCAATCAGGTGGAGTTTTGAGGCAAAAGTCAAAAGCGCTATTAGTTTAGCAATTTGTCTTTTCTATACAACGGATTTTTTTTTCAAATATGACAATCCCTATCATTAGTTGTATTCCTTTCACACCTAGGAGGAGCTCCGGAACAGCTCCGGGGCTTCACGCGCTTATTCCTTTCGAAAAGTGCTTGTTGCACCACGCATCTGTTCCCTGCAAATCGGGGGCTACGAAACACCGAAGCGAGTAGCTCGAGTGTTTCAAACTCTTGAAAGGAATACAACTATTGCCGACGGTGTAGCTGGTGAGGCCATAGCCACTTTCCAGTATGCACAATATGTCAAATTTTAAAAATAATTATCTGTTTGTTTGTGCAGTTTGTTTTTTTATTTATCATAAATGAAAGAGAATCAAAACTATATTTTTTAAAATGTTCAATCTTCAGATATAACAAGAAATAAATAAATAAATAGCCACCCACGGATGTGACAGCTGACATGTTGACGCGTACGTACAGCTCGGGGGCTCAACGCCCCGAGTAGCTCCGGGCGTCAAACTCCCATACTGGAAAGCGGCTCATTTTACAATAGGAAAAATCGGGTGTCCCATTTTTTATGCATATCTCTATATATCGATATATCGTATCGATAGAACCTCCTGTAATCGATGAATCGTTGCCATCCCTACCTGGAACTGGACTCCAAACGCCCTTTAACAAAATTTCCTCCAATCTCCAATGAGGGTTTCACCGAACGCACGCTATACGACCGTTATACCGTGCGTTCGGTATTTTGATCTGCTGAGTTCTCCGAGCTTCAATTTACCGTTCGGTTATTTTAAAAGTGTACTCGAAGCAGGCTCACTCGCGTTCGTTTATTTTAAATGGGTTCGGCTATTCAGCGCGGAGTTGGAGTGGAGTGAACAGAGCTAATGGAGTCACCCTTAATACGGTAAAAAGCAATACCCGAACCTTAACCCGAACGGCTGGAGTGCGAATGGAGTCACTCGGAGTGCACGGAGTGAGCAAGCCGAACCCACCTTAAAATTTTGGGCACTCTGATACAGCGTTCAACTGCTCGGTTCGCTTGCTGGTCACGTGATTACGGCTCCGCTCAGCGCGCTCTGCTCTTTGAGCAAAATACCGAACGCAAGATATGCTTATCAAGGTAAAGTTGTTTTGTTCCATGTTTTTTCTATATTTCGTTCAGAGCTTCCTTAAGGTTTAAGGAATCTGCAAGGAGCTACTATAAAGTCGGTATAGGTATGGACGGTGGTATACTCCCCATCCTCCACTTTTGGAGTGACTTCTATTTAGTGGTGATACCTCATAACCGAGCGGTCGGTTTGCCTTCGGAGTACTCCAGTGCATGGTTGAACTTGCGATATTGCCAAAAAAAAAAGAAGAGCTTGAACCGAACTAACCTAAAAAAGTACGATTTTATAAATGCGTGTTTTCTTTTCCGTCTCTAGCGTCTAGCGTGTTCGCACTTCGAAGTAGTACCGCAGTACAAACTTGTTGTTTTAAGTGTATTTTCTTGTTATTAATTAGCGGTAAGTGCCTTTATTTAGTTAGGAACTATAGAGTATGCTTTTAAATCAGGATTTTTCCATTTTTTTTCTCAATTTGTTAAAACTTCTCACATACCGCATGGGTGGCGAGGCGGCCACGTTTTTCCGGATATCTGTTTCTACAACTGTTCTATGTAGTTGGAGGGTTTCTCAAGTGCTTAAATATTATCTCCAAAACGCACATGGCACATACACATTTCAGAAAAGGGTTCTTAGGGCTGTGCCCTAAGGCTAAAGATTGTAAACCTCAAAGCAGTGATTGGGCTTGTTCCAATTCCAAAGATAAATAAATTCAAAAGAAAACCCTCAGCCCTGGCTCTCTTTAGAAAACATTAAGCTTTGCTTGGTTGTAGCTTCGGTCATAGTTTATTCCTAAGGGCCATATTCTCCATAGTTCATAAAGTCTGGCTTAGTGGAAATCCTTGGCTTTTTGTGTGACAAAGCCGAGCTTTTCCACTAAGCCAGACTTAATGAACTACGGAGAATATGACCCAGTATCTTGTCTATGTAGAATATGGTCACTGTGATAAGGCAAGGCTCACATAGGATTTTTGGGTTTCATGGATTTTGACTACTTTTTGATTTATGTTGTAGAGGATTTCATCCCATCAAATGGGACCAAATCTTGTACGCATTATGGTTCTTCAGAAAAATGTACAGTAAACTCAGTTTGTTAGTCAAAATCCAGGTCAACATATTCAATAGGTCTGCTCGCACAGAAATCACAAACCAGTCAAAGCAAATTTAATTGGTTGAAACCAGCCAGAAAACTAGTTCCAACCAATGAAATTCAATCTGACTGGTTTGTGCGAGGGTTTTTGATTTCTGTGCGAACAGACCTTATATTTATTTATTTATTTAATAATAATATAATAGTAATTTAACAACATTTGATCATTATTTAGAGAACATAGTACATAAATTATAGTCCAAATACACTAATAATAGCACCTAGCTGATTTAACAGCTGTATGTATATATCACTCACAAATTTTTATAAAGTTCGCCTCACAAGTCTAGCAGTTTTAGCACTATGTAAAGAATGCGGATAAAAAAATTGCAATATTGCCTATTTGACTTCCAATAAAAAATACCTTTATATTTATTTATGTTAACACCTACATTTATGAGGAAAAAGTAATATTTAAAAACAAAATGTAGGGTTAGTAGACAAGTTTTTTTTCAAGTTACACATAAAACAAAAGAGTATCAATTTTTTGACAAACAAGCCTACATTATATTTTTTCCAATGGAACACCCTGTATATTATATGTGTGTTCGATAGAATATCTTATTCTGATTACAATGATATAACACACTCCATATTTTGGTCCACTGGTTTTTGACAAATCAGCAAAAATATGAAACTTTCGAAGTGAAACTTATTAGGCGGAGGTCTGATATTTGGAATGAGAATTATTATGTATTTTTGCCGATTTGTCAAAAACGAGTGGACCAAAATATGAAGTGTGCTATATCATTGTAATCAGAATAAGATATTCTATCGAACACACATATAATATACAGGGTGTTCCATTTAAAAAAATATAATGTAGGGTTACATGTCAAAAAATTGATAGTGTTTTGTTTTATGTGTAACTTGAAAAAAAAACTTGGCTACTAACCCAACATTTTGTTTTTTTGTTTACCTTGATATCTTTAAAAACAGAAAAGTCACAGGTGATCAAAATGATATCAAAGATAAAAAAATACCCGGTACATCTTTCAAAGCTTCTATTCCACCATTATCCCACAAACCGTAACACGTACAAAATTTGGTCCCATTTAAAGGTTGTTCAAAATTAAATTCTTCATGACATATAAAAAAATTGGCCAAATCCATATCACCCAAAAATCCCATGTTAGCTGTGCGTTATCCAATACCATTATCAGTTTTCAAATGAGCTCTCCTGTAGGTACAATTTTCTTATTATTCATTCCAGACCATGGTTAAGATTGACGTAAAGACGCCCAACAAGCGTAAAAGCCTGGCAAATAACACCCCTGCCAAGAAAGTAAAAGTGGAAAATGGCAATGGCACACCCGCCATCAATAAAACAGAACATCAATCCCCCAAGGTTAAACATATGACACCCAAAAAAGAAGGCCAATCTCCAAAGGGCACTCCAAAGGTTTTCAACAAAAACAAAAAACAGGCACCATCAGGTGAAGAACCTTCCAAAAAGAAAATTCAGCCATTTGCCGGAACTAAACCACAAAAACCATCCAACAAAAATGCACAGGAACCCAAAAAGAAAAGGAAGAACCAATACAGTAATTTAATCGAAGCAGCCAAAGCCAAAGAAGGAACTAAAGACGCTGAAACACTGAAACAATTGAACGAGAAAATTGCGCTCATTATGGCAAGAGGAGAACTCACCAAAACAGCCAAAAGAAAGTTGGCGGTACTTAACAAACTGAAAGTAATTTGCGAAGAAGGTCAAGAAGCAGCAGCTGCCAAATCCCGGGCAAAAGTAGAAGCTGAAAAGGCTTTACAAGGCAAAAAGACTGACAAGAAAGTAGCTGTACCTGCATCTCCAGCAGCGGCTAAACCAAAACCGAAAGCAGCAGCAGCAGCTAAAAAAGTTGCCAAGAAACAACCAGTTGTAGAAGAAGATGATGACGACGATGATGAGGAAGATGATGATGATAACGATGAAGTAGAACAAGGTAAGATTAATTTGTTTCTGTTTTTGAATATTATGCTGAAATATTTTTTGTTTTGTTAAGATGATGATGATGACGATGAGGAAGATGATGATCAGGAAGATGACGAAGATGATGATGAGGAGGATGAAGATGATGATGATGACGAAGAAGATGATTCAGAAGAAGAAGCACCAGCACCTCCTCCAAAGGTTAGTAACAATAAGAAATCAAAACCCAACAAGAAAAAATAGATTATTAGATGTAAATGTTAGTTTGAAACATTTTTTTTTTTTGTAATCATTTAAGTGTTTTATTTTTATAAGGTACATATTATTATAGAAAGTGTTTTTTCTAGTAATTATTCTTCGTTGAGTGGTTTCCAGAATTACTGAAAAAAAAACTTATTAACGCTATCGTATTTTTTTTATAGATAATTGACCAAGTTGTTTTTTTTTGTGAAAATTTTCAACATTTGAGAATTTCAAGTTTTCTGTTCTGATTTATGATTAATAATGTCTTTGCAATATAAAATATATTTCAAATTATAGTTTTGTTGTTTTAATTTATTTTTTTTCCTTTAAATCCCTGAAATATGAATTACATTTTTCCCCTCTCAGGAAAAACCTCCATCAGCAAAGCAACCTAAGCCTGATCAGAGCAATCATCCTAAACAAAAACAACCGAGTTTAGATCAACTAAAAACTACTGATATCGTTAAAAGGGATCAAAAACGTTTTGTTCTGTTCGTTGGCAATATTCCTTTTGACACCACTAAACAAGAAATTGCTGAGCATTTCAGTAAAGTGGGAGACATAGTAGATATCCGAATTCCTAGCGAAAAAGGCAGCAATAGACCCAGAGGATTTGCTTATATTGAAGTAAATAATGAGACAGCATATGAAGTGAGTAAAAAATTTAATTAAAATTATTGTAATTATTGAGAGTGTTATTTTTAGAGATGCCTTTCAATGCATCATTCGCAAATGAAGGGACGCAGATTGAACGTTTTGTACACACAAGGTGGTAAGAAAAAAGGAGATGACAAGAAAAAAGAAATAAAAGCTAAAAATATGAAGTTACATGCTTTACGTAATCAAGGAAAATTGGCAGGCAGTGTCAAATTTTCTCAGAAGAGGTCGTTTAGAAGGAATAAAGCTAAAAATTCTCAACAACAAGGAGATGGAGAAAATTGAGTTTGTTTTTTCAACAAATAATTTTAAGGTGTTTTTATAGTCTAAGCTTGATTTATATGACTTATTTGGGAAGAAGTACCTATTAATTTATGATAGAGCATAACTAAAGAAGGATTATAGAGATTCCAACCAACTGAATTTTTGGATAATCTCCAGTAAATATGATAAATTCCAACTCCCAGTGGCTTATTTTTCTAAAACAATTTAATTTAGCTAAGAAAAAGGAAGTCGTAGTTCTAGAAAAATGATTTTTTTCCGCAAACGTCAAAAAACAACGACTTTTTTAACCTCAATTCTTAAGAGTGAAGTGAAGTTTGACTTCACAGACATCATTTTTTTTTGTTACTTTTTTGTCCGCGCGTTCCGTGAGCGTACAAAAATAGTTATTTGTGTACCAAGGCCGTAAAGTTGATCTTTACCTCTATCTCACCTGAAATTTGCTTGGCCTCGGCCGCAAATTTCTGATTCGGCCAAAAAAGATCATTCGGCCGAGGTGCACACAAATTTTTTTAAGAGAGTGTTTGTTCTTGAAACAAGAAGAAAATTCAATAGTAGCTTTAAACTTTATTGATCAAATAAATAATCCAGCAAACATAGGTAGATACACAATTATTAATAACAAAAACTACGATAAAGAGAGTGTGATTATAGAAAATTGCCGACTTTTTCGCCTGGTATCTTACATTGAGCTTTTTTAAAAAAGCAATCAATTTTGAAAACTTGCTGATATGTTAGGTATTTCCGACTAGGTATAATTGTAAATTTTGACATAGAGTATAACATAGGTGGACCTGAAGACCACAACGTTGATTATTTAATTTTGGCATTTTCCGAAAAAATGCAAGAAAATGCTTCTCCCAAATTTTTAATCATGCCGTTTTTTTTAGCATTTTATGTGGAAATTTGGATAGAGCTAAAATTAAAAACTTGGTTTCATTGTGGTTGCTAACTAATTGTTTATTGGTTGTGTTGATGGTTACGGCACTGCGTTTCCGATTGTTTGTTTATTTTCACCAAAGTAGCGGCCGTAAAGTAAAAGCGGCCGTGAAGTAAAAGCGGCCGTAAAGTAATAAAGCAAATGCGGCCGTGAAGTAAATGCGGCCAAAAAAGATATACTTTAGGGATGATATTGAATCCGTAAAACTAATCTTTTTGTGACAGTCGCCTAGAAAGTACTTTTTTGTACGCTCACGGCCCGACAAAAAAGTGACGTCACAGAAATTTCCTAGATTTCATCGCTTTAAACACCGTTTGCGGAAAAAATCGCATGTTTTATTCGGAGAAAAGCACTTTTTGTGGCTCGTCTAAAAATGTCAAACATTTAGTCTCGCCACAAAAAGTACCACTTTTACTCCTAATAAAACAATATACTATTTTCTCCAAACGTCAAAAAAACGTCACTTTGTTAACCCCTGTCAAGATGTCAGAATCTTAATTTCTATGCTGGAAGGCAAATCCAGCAGGTTAACACCTGTCGAGGTGGTAGAAATTTAATTTCTATGGTGCTTGGCAACCCCAGCGGCAGCAAAAGTACTTTTAGTGCCGCTCATACTTTTAATGCCGCTTAACCATTCAGTTATCCCCGAGCTCGCCCCATTCGTTTGGAGAAAAAAATAGTGTGTTGCATATGGAGTAGAAGCACTTTTTTGTGCTTCAGCATTATTGCAAGCCTCACTACGTTCGGCTCGCAAACCTACTGCTTCAGCACAAAATAGTAAAGCTTCTACTCCTAATACAGCAATATACTATTAAACGGATTGCTTATGACACTTCATTACAGAGTCACCTAGAAGCTGGTGTTCTATGGTCGCTCGTTGGCATGTTCACTGGTGGCATCGGTATCTGTCAATGACATTTCACTGAAACATAATATGATGTCATTGGTATCTGTACATATTTAAATATTATGGGATAAGGATGAGATATTGAGTAAATATTTGTTATAAGTTCCAATACGTGGAACCAAAGCCTTATTCTTATACATGGTGGGGCACGAAAAACTTCCCAACTTCCCACTCAGGTGTTATATGTGTTAGTATGAGTATGTATTACCTAATGGTATTACTGATACCTGAGAGTACCTGGGTGGGAAGTTTTTCGTGCCCCACCATGTATAGTATTATACAGTCCATTATCTCAGTCTGAAAAAGACACTGTATGTGCTGAAACGAATCACTTGCAATCCACTTGACACCCGAGGCATCAAATAATTGAAAAATAATTTTGGAAATTTGGTAACCCTTTTCTGTTTCCTTCCAATTTTTTTCAAATATGTGATCCAATATATCTATGAAAATTCACACACAATACAGTTTTTAAGATTTATTTTCAAAAAGATCGCCCCATTCAGTTAGAAAACTCACATCAAAACGTCTCCAAGAGATTCCACCATATTAAATTCGCCTTCTTGTATCCAAACATCAACTAATGTTTTATGAGAAAAACAATAAACATCATAGATTCTAACATAATTTATTTGAAAAAAATTACTACATAGAAATATCACAGATTCCAACTAACCTAAATTAGGTAATAATTTAAAAAGATAGTGTGTTAAAAAGGCACAAAATGGTCATCAATAATAAACACCTAAAAATTCACAGTGATTAAGTAAAAAAGTAACATATAGAAAATGTGTTGACCATCTTATGAAATTGCCTAAGAAATACGTGTCAACTATTATTGGTTCAGTCATTTATTATCACGACAACTAGATTACAAGTATAAAAAAGATTAGTCTTCTTCTGCACCCTCAACAAACTCCATAATCGCCTCTCTAAGTTCCATATTGCAACAGAATCCAGTATTTTCAAGCTCCTCGTTGGTCATGGGACTAGTAAACTTCCCTGACATAAACCATTCAGCTATGGCACTTTTTTCATAGGTAAACCCGTCGGAGCATTTCACAGGCTCCCGCATAATCTCGTGCGTGATGGGACATAAAAATTCATGTGGAATGTCTATGTTGGTTGGTTTCCGAATTTGAACTTCCACCTTTTTGAGCCATTTTAATTCTCTCATCATTATTTCTGCAGTTTGATCATCTGAAAGAAATATTATAATTTGTAACACCTATTTCAAGCAAGATTTATTTAGTTATAGACAGTTTTGAAATAATTTTTGTTTCTTCAAAAATTACTTTACCTAAATCCAACCCAGAACACACTTCATTTTCACTCAAAGTCATCAGCCTTGCACCATCAAGCCCAGTATTTTTAACATTCTGAGCAATCCTAGTCATATTTATCTCATCCAACCATTTGATGACATCACTATTTGACCATTCTGCTATAGTTTTCGTATGCCTTTTCACTTTACTGGCTATAGCAGTTTGAAACACCTACGAAAAAAACTAATTTGAACAGATGAAAACATAAAAACCTCAAGTACCAATTGCTGTGGTAATTTCCATAGCCACAAAGTCCTATCCAAACAACCAACAGCCAACAATGAACTATCAGCACTAAATGAGCAACATGTCGCTATAGAATCGTGGTCCAAGACATACAAGCACTGACCACCATAAACTGACCATAATCTCGCTTGCCTGTCAGTAGCAGTTGAACATACAACTTCACCCACTATTGGTGACAATCTAACAGATATTACATTACCACCATGGCCTTGTAAGAGCCGCCACTGTTTAACTTGTGGCTTGTCGAAATTCAATTCATCATTATTGATCGCCACACTGATTCTCCATAATCTCACCATGCTGTCGTTCCCGCAAGTAGCTAAAAGGTAAGATTGCTCTTCGGAAACCACATTGGGAATGGGTTCTAAGTTTTCTGAAAAGTCGCAACATTGTACACCGCCTTCGTGGGCGTCTTCTTTGACAAGGAGGCACCTGGAATTTTCCAGGTACCAAATTCTAAAATCTGAGTTGCAAGAGGCTGTCACCAGAATTTTATTGTCTGGCGATATGCAGGCTGATGTAATTGTGTCTAGATGGCCTTCTAAGACCCTAAAAAATTAGGATTAATACAGAAATGTATATTAATTTTTGATTTTGTTACGAAATATTCTCCATTGTGTTTACATCCCAAAGTATTGCCTTTTCATCGTCACCTGCAGTTACTAAGAAATTTCCGTTTGGAGAAAATCTACAAACTTTTATCGATAAGCTGTTTTTGGGGATGGATTGGTGTTTTTCTCCCGTCTAAAAAAAAAAAAACACTGTCTCCAAAAAAATGTGAGCAAATTGAATTGTTACCTTAGGATCCCATATAAAAGTACATCCGTCCAAAGAACATGAAGCCAGTTTGGAACCATCTTTTGAAAATTCAACATGATTAATTGCATAAGTATGCCCTTCGAATGGTGAATAAATAAGCTCTTCAATATTATTATTGTCTTGCATTATTTGAAATACTCTGATATATTTATCCCTTGAATCAAGCTTTTATTGTATATTCGCTCAAAAAGTAAGTATATTTACCCTGATCCAGTGGCTAATAAATCCTTTCCATGAAAGCAACAACTATTAACTCCAGCTTCAAATATGTCATCTAATTTTTCCAACAAATGGCATTCGTTGTTTTGCTCGTCATTGTGAGCCAGTTGCCTTTCCATAACTCCATTTGTATCGGGGCTCACTAGAGGCATGAACAAGTCACTTTCCAAAGTAATGTTTCCAGTTAAATCCCAAACAATGACAAGTTTATCGTTGGAACCTGTGGAACCTTAAAATGTAAATTTTTGTGACGAACATCTAAAGTTTTTGTGAGTTACATGCAAAGAATACATTTACAATATACCTGAAACAATCAAAGCAGAATCCTTTGAAAATGCAACACAATTAACATATCTCTGATGGCCATACAATGTAGCGAAACAAGAAGTGCCATTTTTGTTAGTATTCCAGACTTTAACCGTTTTATCTAAACTACTTGATACCAAATATTGTCCTACGTTACTATATCTAAAAAAACCAGAAATGTACCATCAAAAACCCATTTAATTTGCATGCAAACCGACACAAAAATTTAACTAGGGGTTTTCTTACCTTACACAAGTTACAGAACAATTGTGGCCTGCCAAGATTTGATTTAGGTTTATTGTTACTTCGTTGCGTGTTAAATTTTTATTTTTCACTAAGGCCTTCGATTTGATTGTCCATACTTTGATTTCGTCGTTAACGCCGCTAGTTGCCATATGGTAGTAGCGTATCAATGGATTTAGTTCTGGAATAAAATGTTATTTATTGGATATTTTCACCAAATAGGTATTTTCCTATATTAACTCCAATCTTAACTCTAAACACTCAGTATTGTTGACAAAGCAACTCTAGTCCAACTTGAATTGAGGAGGTTGCAGAGTATTTTGCACAGCAATTCCAGAGTGTTTTCACTGAACTCAGCCCTACGGATATTAGACCACACACCAGAACAGAAATCAACATCCTAAATTTGACACCAGAAAAAGTAGAGGGTGAACTCCAGCCCCGGTATTGATCTCCCTCCTATATTTTTTAAAAATTATATGCATATTCTAAAGGGAGCTCTGGTAGTACTTATGAAGGACATAATATCCACAGGAGATTTACAACCTTTGAAAAAAAGTAGTTGTTGAACCTATTTTCAAAAAGGGTAACAAAAAACTAGTAGAAAACTACAGACCAGTCAGCCTGACTAGCGCCCTATGTAAATGTATGGAAAAAATCATTGCTAAGGAACTCACAAGCTTTTTCCTTGAAGCTCATATTGTACCACCCCAACAACGTGATTTTCTCCCTAAAAAATCTACTTTTACGAACCTCCTAACCAGACTCAATATGTAGACAAAGGCGGATGATGGGAATGATCCGATTGATGTAGTTTTCTTTGACTTTGAAAACCCATTTGATAAGATACCAACAATATACTTATTATACAAGCTATCTCATTTTGGAGTCAGGGGCGATTTACTGCGACTTCTTGAGAAATTCCTTACTAGACAGTTTAGGTCACAGATTTCAGGTTAGGACAGGAATATCACTCTCAGTTGAATATTCTATACACAGCGGCGTACCACAAGACTTAGTTTTGGGACCCTTGCGTTTCTTGGCGTATTTGTGTGACATACCAAAAACTGAAGACCAAAGATGAATCGTTTGTAGATGACACAAGCCTATCCTGCCATCCACTACTACAGTTTGGGTTAGTTTGGACCTCCAGGAAGACCTGTACACCATCCAGTTCTACATATCATCCTACGTCAATTGGAAAAGTTTTGTGCCACAAAGACCTATGGATAACAATCTCATCAGACTTGGAATGGGAACAACACATCACTGAAATGACAAAAACAAGCCAATTCACCAATCTACCAATCTTTCAAAAAATCTATCTAAAGAAATGGTTCTAAAGCTCTACAAAACTTATGGAGGAAAGTCCAAAGCTCGAATACGGAAAGATGTAACAAGTTACTAAGAAGAAATTTTTTGACAAACAGAGTCATGGTTTATCAGTGGAACAGACTTAGTCATGAAACAATTAGTGCAACATCAGTAAATCAATTTAAAAACCGTTTAGATCCAGAAATGAGGGACTGGCACAATACGTTTGTGCATTATGGTGTTTGATTTGTGAACAAACTGTGAAAAACTAAGACTCATTGGTCTCATCTGTTACCCAACCACCTACCACTGATATCCATAATAATAATAATAAAATAATAATAACAATAATAATAATAATAATAACCCAAATTCTTACCATCCACATCAATATGTTTAGATACATCAATAGAAAACACTCCCATATCGTGAATATTATCAATCCGAGCCAAACAAATGCAACCATTTTCAGTTGTGGTGTCAATAAGGTCAAATACGTGCCACACTTTGACCACTTCCAAAGAACACGCTGTGACTAAAAATTGGCAATCTGAAGTGAAGGCTAGGCCTTGAATGGTACCTTCATGTTGAAAAAGTGTTCTAAAATTTTCAACCATTACATTTTAGTAAAAATAGGAAAACAGTAAGTACCTTATGAGGGTTCTATGGACCAAATCCCAAATACAAAATGCTCCATTGTCTCCGCCTGTTACTAGCAAAGTACTGTCTGGTGAAAAACTATAATTAAAAAACATTTAGAAAAAACTAGGTTTTAAAATTGCATAAAACCGCTTATATGCAAATTTTTAATTGCAGTTTTGATTAAACCCACCCCTTATCAGAATCACAATATATCTAATGCCAGTGTCTCACTATAAATCATTTATAATGGGATGAAACTCTTGTCTTGTACAAATGAATAAAGTAAAAATCATAATTTTATTCGTACCTACATACTCGAATCGGATCTCCATTAACCTGCGTCATCGTATAAAGTTTTGTCAACGAATGGAGGTTCCAAAGCAAAGCGGTACCATCTACCGAAGCCGAAGCCATCATGGAACCTTGCGATGAAATTTTCACGCAGGTTACTTGGTACTTGTGGGCTCGTAGGGGTGAATTCTGTCGTTCCACGTAGCCTGTACCTTTGTGCCAGTCCCATATCCTTATGGTTTTATCACTAAAGTGACAATTATTAAATGCCAATTGAAATTTAAAAAAATGGTTTTACCTCGATCCAGTGACTAAAGTGAAGTTTGGTGAGAAGGCACAACAATTAACGTCACTAGTGTGTCCTCGTAGGCTTTGCAGAATCGTTGCTGTTCCTGTTGTTAGGCCATTTAACATGGACATTGTCCCTGTAATTAAGAAGTATTATTGATCAGAAACTAAAATAACCAGTGATCAACTTATTAGCTAATTCTTATTTTTTAACTGGTAGAAATTAAAATGGGTGCTAGAAGATATGAGTATTAAAGAAATTCTAGGATTTGGATATTTTCTCCTATAGAACTTTGCAACACTTTATAGGTATTTTTTAAAAGAATCTTAAAAATCCTGAAAAATATTGTCAAAGTACCCACTTATGCACTTTTTTCCTAAGAAACACAACTACTTTTTTTTAACGAGCTATTTCTTATGCTCAGAGTTTTCTCTTGAATTTCTCCAGGCTAGTGCGATCCAGCTCTATTATTTATAGAGCTCGACCGGTTGCTATGGGAGGTAGTGTGGAAAGGAAAGACATAGACGTACAATTTTATTAAATACCTTCTACCAAACAACTATTGTGCATAGTATGGTGTAGCGATTGAACTAGGAATACATTTTTCATTTGGAAACCCATAAATTTCCAGTTTCACTTGAAATTTATTTATTCTATCATATAAACAAGATTTTCTATGTGAATCCTGCTAGAAGCATCACGAAGTATAATGACAACGTTGGATTTTACGGTCCTTTGGTCTGGGATTTAGCTTGAAGCTTCTATTAAGAATAAGCTTCAAATTGAGATTCTGTTTTCGGATCTAGACCAACAGCATTTTGTATCCTTCTCAGAACAGGTGAGATCTGAGAACAAGTTCTTTATACTATCAAAACCAACATAAACTATTGGATTTTGTAATGATTGGACAAAACTTCTTGACAGAAAAATAAGCTACGTCACTGGACCTCGGTAACCTGACGTGTTCTTTATGGAAATAATAACAGGTATTTATTTCATATCGAACGTTCACCATTAGTTATTTATGTAATTACCATGCAAGGATCGCGAGTACAGTTTTATAGTCGAGAATAGAGTTCTCTATGTCTCTCGGTTTTTTTAGAGTCTTTTAGAGAATTACTGAAGCTTTTTAATATACCTCTACTACTAGACATTAATCTAGACTTTGTATAGAGCAGCAGGTGTAGAAACAGATTCTTCACATGAATAAATAAGTTTCAAAAGAATAAATTAATTTTTTTTTAGTAAACTTGCAAAGTCGAGTGCAAAGTAGATTTTAAGTTTGAATTAAGATAATTTTAATGTTGAATGTTAAAATGGCAAAGGACCTTCAAACACTCAAATCCTGAAGTAGAATTTACTCAATCTTTATGGCCTGAATTGGCCAACACAGCTATTTATGTACCTACATAACAGAACAGGTATTTCTTCAGTTAAAGGTATACAGGGCCGCAACTAGGGGGTGGCGAACTATGGTGGCGAACTAGGTGTGAGCCTATGGCGCCAAAGTACTAAGGTGCCTTCTCGCCGCCAAATAAAATTAATATACAACCTAAAGGAGTCAAATTACAGGGGGTAGAATGTAGAATTGTTTTCTATTACCGGCTCTCGTGAAAGATTTTCTGCATTAAGAGCCGGGAATAATAAAATATTGATCACTCTGTATTTTTATAGAGTGGCTTATTTTTGTTGAGTCAAATTACAGTGGGTAAAATTGTTTTCTATTACCTGCACTCGTGAAAGATTTTCGACATTAAGAGCCAGGGATAATAAAATATTGATCGCACCGGCCGTTTCTCTACACAGTGGTGGTATTAGTAGTACGCGCCAAAATTTAAATTGGCCTTGGGCGCCGAGGGTTCTAGTTGCGGCCCTGAAGGCATAAGTTTAAATGAATTATGGATGTGTTACACATCCATACACATCATGTGTACAAGCAACCAACAGTAAAGAACATTAAATGTGAGCGGAAAAAAGCAATGGAATCAGAAATCAATTATCCAAAAGAAAACAAAACCAGAGACTACCAGAAAAAGCAAAAGCACTACCATGTTAATGGGTGTACTTGAAACCAATCCTGATGGTTATAAACCAAGGCTAGTCATCAAATAAGGTTTCAACCAGAGAAAAGGCATTGACTGTCCTGTTACAAGACTATACGATCAATTTTGAGAAATGCAGCATGCGACAGCAGCTTGAGGCGTCAACTGCATTTCTTCATGAAGAACTACAACAGACCATCTTTTTGGAACAACCAGATAGTTATCACCAAGGAAATGACCAAGTTTGCAAGTTAAAGAAGAGCTTAGGTGGTCTAAAACGAGCTCCACGTTGTTGGTACACAAGAATCAACACTTTTTTTCAAATGAAGCTGACCAATGCTTGTATGTAAGAGAGAGAAATGACAAAAGGCTACTCGTTACTAATATAATGAACATAAATTTGTAATAATCAAAGAAACAACAGTCTAAAAATCAAAAAAATAAAAACATTTATCCCTCGCAAACTATAAGACCGCCTTTTTGAATTTTCCTCTCTAGGCTTCAATACCCAACCTCTGGTAAGTATACTAATGTTATTTGCATAGCCATTTTGATTGGTTGCGATTTTTTTTGACAATTGACCAGTGCGACTAAATACAATCCAGACACAATAAGTATATTAAGAATTTCGGAAATGAAGATGTAGCATAAATCTAATTATTCTTTTTTGAGTTTTAAAAATCTCCTCAGAAAATCTGGTTGCTCCCTAGATAGCCATACCATAATTTATCTGAGACTGTACATAAGCAAAGTGGAAAAGTGTCATGCAGTCAAAAGAAATGCTGTCTCGAAGTCTGCGTATCAAGGCGCATGCGCTATTCAGCCTGTACTGAAGGCTTGTAATGTGCTGCTCCCAGCTCAAAGCAGAATCAATGAGGTAATGTTTGAAATGATTTTTGGTTATAGTTTACATACAAAGACTCAGAATTCGCCCTGTCTTTGTTTAATCCGACAGACAACACCCCATCCACCGAGCCAGGCGTCATTCACATACAGTAAGAAGAGCAATGGCCCTAGTATGGAGCCCTGTAGTGGGTCGTCCCTCTGTATCGACAGACTCTCTGTAAAGTATTTCTGTCTGTCATGTAGGATTGACACCTGTTTTCCAAATAACAAGTACACAGCCTGGCCTGGCACCCATGCCCCTCACCTCATACTTCTGCAACTTCCACAACAAGAGCTTGTGATCAATCATATCGGAAAATCAAAATAAAGGCAAACCACCTTATGACCATCAAAGCTTCCAATAATGGCGGTCACTGTCTCAAATATTGCCATTTTAGTAGATTTCCCTAAGAAAACTAGAGAGAACCAAATTGATTGTCATTAAGAATCCCACACTGGATGAAAAAATGCCAATAGTCGATTGTAAACATCAGTCTTTCAGAGACTATCGACACTTAAAAGAAGTGGGATGGGCTTATACTTTGAAGAATCATATGTATGTACATCACCCCTCTTATGGACAGGCACAACCCTAGCAATTTTCAGTTCTTCCGATAAAACTCCCAATGCCAAAAAGATATTATAATAATATGCATTACCTGATGGTGAGCCAGACCGAATGAGCAATGTACCTTAAGAGAAAAATTGGATTTTTTTCGATACCAGGAGAATATTTGTTCGCCAGAGCCATGATGATTTTGAGAAATTGATCCTGGTCGGGCGGTTCTAACAGCAGGGTACAATGGTTATAATAAATCCTGCTGTAGTTAATATTATACGTAAGGTATTGTCCGTCGTTTTTAATCTGACACTTTCCGTATGAGGCACGAGGGGATGAAGCATATGGCAAAAACAGGTGTGATGTCAGGACCATTGGCGTCCTAACGTAGGGAGCCACCAGCTTACATTCCGCTGGAATATCAGATTAAAAACGAACTGTAAGTATTTCTCCGATCCTCGTGCCTCAAAGAATTTTACATGTTGGATATGCTATTATGATAGAAATCCCTTTTCTCAACAAATATTGGCTTTTTGTTGTGGGTAACAACCTGGATATAAATATTCTGACCAAAATGACCAGAAATGTTTGTAATGATTGTATGGTATTCCATCAGAGTGGTAGGGATATTATTTACTGAAGATATTATCAATTTGAGTACTAGATGCTTTTACCTATTCTTGTAGCACCAATGATATGCGGAGCCAGGACATAATTTGATGACAACTGCAAGAATGCTCGCACTACAGGATTATCAGTTGAAAAATTTATATTGAAATCCCCACACATAATCAGGTATTTGTTGGACGTATATCTCGTCCAAGAGGACACGGAGCAAACTAAGAAACTCACCAAGGACAGTCTGGGGCGATCTGTTAATGCTGGATTGATCCATCTTCTTTCAGGATAAAAAAACGTTTTCCCATTGCAAAGTTGAATCTCTGGAAAGCGACAACACTTGGCCAGAAACTAATTGCTGCGAAATTTTCCCCAAGAACCTTGGAAAACCTCCATAGAAGATGTTCATCACAAAAAAGAGTCTTTAGTACCTTTCGAGAAGAATTCACCTATGGTACGACAGAGTATGGTCCCAAATTCTACCACAGAAGCTGAAATTGTTGCTACGAATGAAGCTACTAAAGAAATTTTATAGATTACTGGACTTGGAGTTAATACTACTCAATCAAACAGAGCTGGGCAGGGCTTGAGGGCTTTGTGCTTGTAAAAGTGCTTGAAGCACTTTGAGGACTTGAAAGCCCTGTGCTTCAAGCCCTTTTATATATTTGTAATTGGGGCTTGCAAAGTCAATTACATCAGAAAAGTGCTTGGTAATTTTTAATTGAAAAAAAGTAATTCAAGCCCTTTCAATGAGCTTCAATTACTTTTAGAGGGCTTGAAGCACTTTGAAAGGGCTTGAAGCACTTTGAAAGGGCTTGAAGCACTTTGAAAGGGCTTGAAGCACTTTGAAAGGGCTTGAAGCACTTTAAAAGGGCTTGAAGCACTTTAAAAGGGCTTGAAGCACTTTAAAAGGGCTTGAAGCACTTTAAAAGAGCTTGAAGCACTTTGAAAGGAATTTGAATTGATCATTCAACCTATCCCCTACCTAAAAATTTTGGATCGACGTGTTTTGTGGCTTAATTTTTTTTCTAT